TAATAAAATATATGATGAATATCGCTGATGTTAAATGATAAAATATGTGACATGGAACCTATGATCGTCGAAACCATGGGACGATTCCTGAGGTATCTCTGCTTGTAACCGACTTCTTCGGACTTGATTTTGTTTTGTGCCTGTTCAAAGACACTCGTTTTTAGAGTGTAAACTCCGGTCGTGCGTCGGAGCTGACATACACAATTTTTGAGTTGTTGTTACATACTTTGCGCCGCTACTGTTCAAGTTTCCATACAAAATTTGACATTGACATTTCGGTTTGCAAACTATTCGAATTCGATAATGGTTCGTGCTAGGGGTAAAAGGATGCGAAACGTCAATAAATAAATAAATCATCGCATCTATACCGTTGAAATATGTTTAATTTAATTATCAGGTACTTAGAGTTACCAATTGATATAATTATTAACGACAAAATAAAACGAAAGTTCAAAACAAAGCATTTTATTTTTAATTTCTATTTGATAACTTCATCTCATTAAATACAAAATAATACGGAGCTGGGATGAATCATTAGAAAAATAAACATCTTTAATAAATACGAGGACAACACAAGGACAAAAGTGTTCATACATTCGAAGAAGAAAAAACTTATTACCAGTGTAATAAATAATTATTTCTGTGTTACCAGTAACTAAAGGTACGTTCATAAGTGTTTAGCAATAAGGTCAGATTTAAATTTTTTTAATTTTATTTTATGTCTGTCAAATATAAATTGAATAGAACATCATAATGTCATTCATAAGTTCAAAACCACTTCCAAGGCACTGGATAACATTATTCTTGAAATGGTTTTCATGCTTAACTTTATTATTTCTCCTTCTCCAAGTGTACGATCACATACAATAACAAAAACACTGAAAAGTAACCGCGAAACTCATACACTTTATTTAAATCCACCCATTAGCGACATCGTGGGATATCTCAAGAAAAAACACGCCGAAAACCATTTTATTCTCTAAAAACATTTTCTGTAAAACCAAGGTTTTTGAGATATCCCGCTGCTGTCGCAAGTGGGCGAAACATATTCGTATGTGAGCTCACGTCATACTTTTCAATGCTAAATAAATGTCAAATCCATTATATAAAAAAAAATCAAACGTTACAATTAAAATCTGATTCACAATCAGTGCCGATAACTTTCGTATTATAAACCTTATGTACTATTACAAAAACTTTACGCCTAGCTATAGTGTAAGAAATATATTAATAATAATTATAATAATAATTGTACAATATCAGTATCGTTTCCCACTTTAAACGAGCGACTGTTGTGACTGTTTTCATAAGAAAACAAGATACTTATAGATAATTATAATATTTGGTCCTTCGAGCCGGACTAACCAAATAGTATAACTCTTGTAATAGAAAGTGATTGTGAATGACTACGTATGACGTTCTGTCCCGCTCGCACATGCTATCCTAAATAACGTGCGAGAGAGACAGAATGCTTTGCGTCAGCCTTTCTATAATAATAAGTTATAATAAAGAAAATCCTAAATTACTATCCGTTTATTATCATGGCTTCATTAATATGTAATTGTAAAAAAAAAAGTATCAATTTACTCATAATTGTGATGCATTGTCGTCAAAACAGCCGCTCAGACGTTCGTTCCGTAGAATAGAAATAATCTTATTTCCATAAAAAAAAAGTAATAAAAAAACACTTTGTGTCATGATTAATAAGTTAATTCTATGAATTTGTGAACAGTTGTCTGGAATGTCCTGTTTTATAAAATATTTTTTAAACATAGATTACAAAAAACGTGGCGATGCGTACGTACATTTTGTATTCGTTAGAATATGAAAACAACGCCGCAAAATCGAGTCGAATTGAGTCCACAGGCGACTTTGCTTTTTAATTGTAAGTGTTTAAAGTCGGTTTTCGTAGCAAAGGAGTCGCTGTTCATATTCCAACGTTTGTGCCTGTGATATAGAAATGCTCGACTGGCCTTTATATAGTAATAGACATCGACTAAGCTACTTCCGTGAGACAATCGACTGAAAGACAGATAAGTATAATAGGCAAATAGAAAGAAAATTGAAATGGTATAGTGTCAACCGTATTCTAGATTCCAAAGCACAGAATACAGCAAGAAGCTTTTAGGTTTTTACATAAAGAAAATATAACTAGAAAAAACTCCACACGGACCAGGCAGCAGACGGGACTCGAACCCGCACCCTTCGCAATCCGGGCGAATGCACTCACCAATTATGCTACCGCGGCCGTCAGGTCGAAATTCTTCTAGCCATTCTAAGGCAGCGCCATTTCTTCGCATTGTAGGTAATCCACAATGTCGAAAGAATACTTTTACAAGTATTAAACATTGTATTTTTTTATTTTCGTTAATTAAAATATGTTATAAATTCCACCATATTTAATTAAATAGTAAAAAAGCACATTCATATAACAATAAGAGTTTACTCATAAGTAAAAATGTTATACCACATACGAATTTCAACCTTAGTAAGATAGCAATAGAGTCGATTATCCCACGTAATGTGCCAACTAAGAAAAAAAACGAAATCTAAAAGATATACAAGTGCACTAAACGCACACCTAACTAACACTAAGTAGCACCTAACGGTGTGTTAACATCATCTGTTTAGCCGTTACAACAACACGTCGTATATTTTCATCTCAATTCAACATATATATTATATATCGACTATGAAGTGGGCCCATATGTTGAGAGGTACGCGATTTTCTACGTATTATATAATAAACATGGTGTGATCATGATTTTATTCATTTTTAAGCATTTAACTGCTAGATGTTTAAATCTAAAGAAAAGTTTACTAGAAAAAAATCCACGCGGACCAGGCAGCGGACGGGACTCGAACCCGTATCCTTCGCTATCCGGGCGAATGCACTGACCATTATGCTACCACGGCCCTATTAGCCGCGTCGAAATTTTTTCCTAGCCTTAAGCTGCAAGGCAGCGCCATCTCTTCGCATTGTAGGTCATCCATGGTCATATGGTGTGATCAATTTTAACAGTGGTTTCTTTCCACATCAGCCTATTAATGTCCCAACTGGTGGGACACAGGCCTTCCCTATGGATGGAATAGGGAGATTGGGCCATGACCCACCACGCGGGCCCAGTGCGGATTGGTGGGAGCTAATGACTGCAGATGCAGCCGGAACGGAGCACGGCGGAACTCGAGATAGAAGATTTTTGGTCACCCATCCTATGACCGACCATTGCGAAAGTTGCTTAACTTCAACGATCGCAGCCGTACGCGCTAGCCACCTGAGCCACCGAGCTCCTCAATGCTAAGTGGTTTCGTTACTGCCATGATTCTCCGAGCCTAAAATTATATTTGACAACAGTGTGTCCTTGTCATAATGTATGCAGAGTGAAAAGGAGAGACTGTGTTACATTTAGCTTTAAGTTTAGAGAATCGAATCAGAGTCGACACCATTTACTTCATTAAAATATTGTTAACCAATTCCACATCCACTGTAACTAATCTTAAATGATTAAGGCCCGTATTATTATAGAAAGATTCTCAGTGATTGATCTAGTCTTGAGCATAGTTAGAAAGGGATGTCACTATATACAGGGTGTTACAAAAATACAAATAAAGCTTGAAGGGCATTGAAGTACATCATATAAGGAGTCTTCTCTAATTTTCTTAAAATATTTGCATGAAGTTTTAACTTTTTATAAAAACAGTTATTTTTGACGTGTCTTAAAATGATAGAATTTTTTATTTATCATTAAATTTAGAATTAGAGAAGACTCCTTTTATGATGTACTTCAACGCCCTTCAAGATTTATTTGTATTTTTGTAACACCCTGTATAGCACATAGCGACATCCCTTTCTAACTGTACTCAAGTAAAGCTCAACACTTAGTTGTCATTCTGTAATACGCGCCTAAGAATGTGTTAGATTAAATCTCAATTTTAATAATGTCTGAGTTACACAAATAACTATTTTATAATTATTTTCCATGCACAATATGACACATATACGAAATACTTATATATTAAATCATCACACCATGTTTATAATAATAATTCCATTTGGAATTTTAATTACCAAGCAATTTTAGAATACGTTAATTCAACTGGAAACAATTATTTCGATAAACTATCTTTTATAGGTACTAAATTTGTCCCACACACAACATATTTTAATGTATTTCTTTTTGTATTAGAGACAGAGAGAGTAAATACCTTTTTTTTAATCTACAACGGTGGTCTTTCTCGTGTGACGTACTTTAAAGCTAGTCCGTATTGAAAAAAAAAATACACGGACATAATTTTTGTTTTTATTATGGCAACACTTATTTGCATGCTACGAAGCCGAACAACTGCGTAACTGAAGGTCGTATCGCCTTAGCCTAAGCTTATAAAAAAAATAAAAAATGCTCATAATTAATAATAGTTATTAATTAACTAACGTATTTTTTTTTTACATACAATAAAAAAATTGCATTCTTAACTTTATAATAAAATAAATCGTAAAGGTGCGTTTCGACGTCACAACATCAAATATAATAATTAATTAACTCCATTAATCAATTAATATAAAATGATTTTTAAATAACTTAATCATTAGTATTCGCAGTGTTGACGCTTAAAACTATTTATGTATGTACCATTATATACATACAAGTTTTTACATGACTCCTGGCGGCCATTTTTGTCATAAATGTCCCAGATCAAAAACTTTTATCATACCGAAATTTATTAAATTACACAATTAAAGAAAAAAAAATGGTTGCCTGTAAAGTCGGTTTTACGGGCGAAGATTTTACGTGACAACGTCTTTTTCTCGGTAGAATATTTATTGATATGAATATAATTAAATTGCACAATAGGAACAAGGAATTGAATGAAAATAAGAATTGCACAAATTTTAACTATAGAAATATATTTTGTTTACTAAAACATTGTACATGTAAACTTAAACTTAACACGAGAGACTCATCGTAACGTTACCGAGCGTTACACTTTTTCATAAGTGACTCCCAGCCGCAACCTAATTTAAGACGTTGTCACGTCAAAAAACTTTAATACATATTGTACTCATACTTTTCAATAAATATTGTTACATTGGCTGTATGTGTGTGTTGTTTGTTTCCATTTATTCACGGCTTTGGGACTGACCTTTCGGCCCGAGTTGTAGCGTATTTTCAAAATGGCCGCCGTTATTACGTCCGCAAGTGCGTTAAGGCTGCGTGCTCTGCTGTTGGATTTCGATTTTCTCCACTGTCATGTCCGGGTTCATAGCTGTCGCTTCCTGTTGATCAAAGGTGATATGTTGAGTATAATATTGTTAAACGACCAGCATTGTCATGGTATCGTGGGCGATAGTCGAGTGCATTATCATCAATTTCTGATGAAATTAAAATTGAGAACTAAGTAGAGCGAAATCTTTTCATCATCATCAAACTATTGATGTCCCCACTGCCGGGGCACAGGCCTTACCTATGGCTGGAAAAGGGAGATATAGGGAGATTGGGCCATGACCCACCACACGGGCTCAGTGCGGATTGGCAGGTACTAACGATTGCAGATACAGCCGGGACCAACGGCTTAACGTGCCATCCAAAGAACGGAGGAACTCGAGATATAAGATTTTGGTCACCCATCCAATGATCGACCACTGCGAAAGTTGCTTAACTTCAAAGATCGAAGCCGAACGCGCATACACAATCAAAAAAAATGTGGCCCGCTTGATTAAAGGCTAATTAATTAATAATGATAATAAATCTGCTTATGTAATACTTGAATGGCCCCTAAGGAGTTATCACTTCAAGAATGTAACTGTATTAATGTTTCTGAAAGTGTCCGTTAAAGCAATAATAAAGGAGAGTAGTATACGTGTAGGGTTACTATTTAAAAATTTGAAAAGTCCTGACAAAAAGCCGTACTTTTCGATAGAAGTCCGGACATTTTTTTTACAAAATGCGAATATCACCCACTTAGTTACAGAGATATGATATACGCGTGGTAGCAGACGCTCGCATCGCGAGGGGCGTCTCGTTGTTGATTTAATTTTATTTATTTATATAATTAATTGCACATGTGCAGTATAGGATCTTAAAATTATTTTAGAATGGTACATGACCCTGTCAGGGTGTTGCAAGTACAATATCTATATCAACACAACAATTTTTCTAGACGTCTTATATTTTGTTTTAAATTAATGAGAACTTAATAAAGATTATTTAACTAAAATGTTATATAATAATAATAATAAATCATTTATTCCTCACCATAATCCGTTGGGATAACAGAAGCAAAATGTTACAATACAAGTCGATACAAGATTATGGCAGGTTGATACCTCAACTAGGAAAGATCCTGTATCTCAGGTTATCAACCCTCCACCTCACTATTTTCGAACAATAATTGTGAAGATATTTTGCATTTATACGCTCACAGTTGTTGATAGGAGATAATATTACAGTAGATAACAGAATAATTTTGCGGGAATGAATTTAGCCCTTATAAAGTAAAATAAAACTATAACTTATAACTTAATAAGTAGTTTTACTCATATTCCATTTAATTGAAAAAAGCCGGACAATGTCCGGACACGAGTCAAAAACTTCGGACATGTTAGGGATGTCGGAAGTTGAAAAAAAATATCAATATCGGCTTCGATATATTGCGAAAAAAACATCGATATATCGGACCAGTTTTCCCAAAAATATCGTACAGTATCTCACGAAATATGACACGCGGAATAATAATGGAACGAAAATTATCTCCCTAAAAATAGACCCTATTTTCGAATGATGAAAATGATTGCAGGGCCTCTCAGGTAAACGATTGCAGGGTCTCTTTCGTAAACAAGACTAGACAGTCGCACACTTCCACAGAATATAATGGAAATCAGCACAACCAATTCACCAGCGATTACAAATTCGCAGATTTACAAATAATAGACAATACTAAATACAGCACAGATCATAGATATGTTGAATATCATTAATCTGAGATCCAGTTACGATTTTTCCAGATACGAATTTAGTTAGATCGTAATATGCCGCAACTATGAGGAACTCGATGGCGCAAGTGGTTAGCGCGTTCGGCTGCGATCGTTGAACTTAAGCAACTTTCGCAGTGGTCGGTCATTGGATGGGTGACCAAAAATTACTATCTCGAGCTCCTCCGTGCTTCGGAAGGCACGTTAAGCCGTCGGTCCCGGCTGCATCTGCAGTCGTTAGCACCCGCCAATCCGCACTGGGCCCGCGTGGTGGGTCATGGCCCAATCTCCCTATTCCATCCATAGGGAAAGCCTGTGCCCCAGCAGTGGGGACATTAATAGGCTGATGATGATGATGATGAATTAAAAAAATATCGTTTTTGATACGAATTTCGATATTGGTTATTTTGTATCGATGTATCGATATATCGAATCAAAATATATCGGCAAAAAATATAGATATATCGATACATCGATATATTTTCAACAAGCCGTCGGACATGTCCGGATGTGTCCGGACGGATGGTAACCGTATATACGCGGCATACCTGGATGGCCTCGGCGAGGGCGCGGTCGTGGTCGATGGGGTCGCCGTCGGACTGGATGGTGATCTTCTGTTCCACGCGGGTCTCTACCACGCCGTTACGCTCCGTTTTGTACTGTTCATTAGAAATCAGAAATCAATAGGTAAATCTTTAAATAAAACTAGTTTTAACGGGTTAATGCACGAACTTTATTTATAAACTAGCGGTCCGCCCTCGCTTCGTTTCGGTGTAGAGCTGCAGTGTAGACTACAGTTTGTGTTCTCAGGCTTGTATTATACACAATGACATTCATCTATGATTATTCTTATACCTACCGGCATGCAAAGTCTCAACCCGATCGATTTAAAATTGACAAAGTTTCATACAAACTTTCATTCCCTATTTTATCCCCTTAAGGGTAGAATTGATCAAAATCCTTAGCGGATGCCTACGTCATAACATCTACCTGCATGCCAAATTTCAGCCCGATCCGTCCAGTGCTTTGGGCTGTGCGTTGATAGATCACTATGTCAGTCAGTCACCTTTGAGTTTTATATATATATAGATTGATGTTTCGCAGTCTTTTCAGGTCTGCGTCGTTAGAATAATGATTTTTTATTTACTTTGCCTGAAGTGTGTGAATATGCATTAGGGGGACCAAACCATTACATTAGATTTGATAAACCACGGATCCTTGCAGCTGAACAACGGTTCGTTCCTAGAATGATGCGCGAGGCTATTGAGATTAAAAAATATCCAAAGGAGATTGCTCAGCTTCCATACATGTTTGGCCTAAAGACCAATAATCATGAAAAATTGTTTCCTAGATTCGAAATTATATATAAATTACTGTAGAAACGAATATTATTGACGGACACCCCTGACAACTTCTATAAACCATATACACTGAACATATTAAAATAATAAAAAACAAATAAGTAATATAGTAAACTAGGGAAATCAAGCCAAGTACCGAAATTATGGATTAGATTCAAGTATATAGAGCTTGTAGATTAACAGATAGTTGCCTGTTTTTAAAGTTAATGATTAAGAGTAACTTTTAAAATCAGGTGTCATTTCCGGTTATAATAAGATACTCTGTGACAGAAACTGTGTGAATGAGCCACAGATTAGAGAGAATTTTTAAACTCTAGTTAACCAAAGAAAGCTAAGAGATTTAGGTTCTATAGCCGAATATTCAGTAGTTCATTATTTTTGTTATGTTTTTAAGATAACCATATTTAAGATTTTTAGTGTATCACACCTTATAATTTTATTTATTTATTAATTTATAGTCAGGGAACGTAGGTCCATAGATAGATACCTTAAAGTCTAACATATAAACAGACTATAATGTGTTTATGGAGGTGTTTGCCGAAAAATGTATGGCAATAGACTTTATGATGTCGCCTACCATCTATAATAATTGTCTGAGCACATTTGCATTTAGTGAAAATTATAATATAGTAGTGGATATTAATACCACAGTGTAATAAAAAAAAAAAATTTTTTTCGATCTTTACAAAATAGATTTGTTTTATGTTATATAAACAACTTCGATCAGTCTTTGGCTGAATACACCCATAGCCATTAAAAATGATTCGTATGCTTTCCAAACCGGTAAAATTAAAAGTCCTTTTTAAAGTAAACATATTATACAAAGGTGTCCGTTGAAATCTAATGACTGTAAATTAAATTATAAATTACGCCAAGAATTACCGTGTATGTCAATACTTTTTGTGCATTTAGGCCAATTTGTGCAATCTCCTTTCAATAGGGAAGATGGTTGGTATATACCACCAGTTTGGTAACAATATATAAAATATAAACATTATATAAACATTATACAACAGATAAAATCCCAAACCCGAGCACACTTAATTTTAAATTATATGCACTCACGGTGATGGTCTCGACGGTGCGCGTCTTGGAGCTGATAGTCTGCGAAGACACCACTTCACCTTCGGCAACTTCTTCCGCATCAGTCGCGCCCGTGCTTGTCTGTATCATAAAAAAAACATCTACGTTCACAACACCCTACCTTTAGCACGAACCATAAAACTTATTTGTGGTTTAAACAAAAGAGTACTAAACTGACAATAAAATGCACCTTGGGCAATAATAATTAATAATGAATACCAGACTATAGTTTTTTTTTTCCTAAATGGCTTCGCACGGCTTGTGCATTTAGCCAATGTCAAGTGTTAAAAATGTATAAAATTCTATAGCACTCGTGGTCAAAGTAATAAATCAAGTCAAAGTAAGCGGCGGACTGAATGAATTTCGTTTTCGAAAGTTCGTTTCGGAGAAAAAGAGTAGGCCCCCTGAACCCCAGCACTAGAGACATTCATGAACAGGACATACTCACCCTGGGAGTTGTGCCATGGATCATGGTGCCAAACGGCGCGTCTCCCATCGCCGTCGTGGTGGTGGTAGTGCGGTAAGACCCAGGCTCCTGCGCACCATAGAAAAACACCATTGCAATATATACCAAAACGACAACGGCTTAAGAGCCTTTTCTATCTTACGCGGTTCTTGAATCGACAACTCTTCGTATCACGCAAGAAAGTTTTATAGAAAAAAGGTTTAAGACAGAAATCACTTATAAGTCTTACTCAAAAAGATCAATTGAAGGTAATGCTAGTAAAAGTATTGTCTTTTTCTATTGCTATCGCAATGAAAGTGATAGCTTTGAGAAACTTTCAAGCTGACGTCTCTGAAGTGAGTTCGTTATCAAATTAAAATAAAAAAAGATTGTTATTTAAGGGCTGATAATTAATTAATTGAATTTTATCGTATTCAGATTCCTAAATTGACATCAGTGAATCAAAGAAAAATATTTTCGTATAAATTTTTGTTAATCGTTACGATATTTGCATCAATATTTTTTCATATTTTCGCAAAAGCTTAAGAATTTTTAGATACTTTAAATTACAACAAAATAAAATTAATCTAAAATCATGTGCACCAAATACACGACATATTTATATTTAAAAACAATTAAAATTATAAAAAATACACTGAATCTGTTTTAAAATTGTCTGTGAATACAAAATAAGCATCTACTGATAATATTGTGGAAACATGTGCCGTAAATACCTGTGAAACTTATCAAAACATATTTGTGTACATTAATAATTACAAATTAATATTAATAATTTTACCTGAAATGTACCTGTTTAAAAATAGTTTAATTATATTCTTAGTGGTAGGGGAGCCCACGATGGGATTATATATGATAATAGGGATTTACTCGAGCCGCGTTAGGACCTACCTAATGGATTGTGAAAGTTAAATGCTAAAAAGAAAAAAGTTTATATAATGTACACCTATTCACTAGTGGGTGGAGCGTGTACAGGCTTTCAAAAATTTAAAAAAAAGCAGTTACATAGAAATACTCGAGCGCGTCAGATATTAATAGTGTAATCGCCCCACGTGTCTACGATAACGAAAAAGTATTATCTGCCGGTTTGAATGGTGGAGCTGACCGTACGAAGAGGTTGAAAATAGTAATAAAAAAAAGGTTTTTTTTGTTAAATTCTCCCTTTTCAGGGAAGGCAAGGGGAACAATGCCCATACAGCCTAGTCTTAAGTTAAATTATTTTGTTTTTCTTTTTACATTAGAATGTCGGTGTGACGCATTCTAATGTTTCTTGAAGTGTTTGGCACGAAATGTATCGAGCTGGCTTTTTCGATAAACTTCTATGAGGTAGACAATACTACCATAAAATTCTCACGTCCACTTGACCGGAATAGCGTATATTTTGACGATTCTACTAATTCTTCAGTTACTTTAAGAATAATTAAAATAAGACACCAACCACACTCGATCAAATCCCGCCAAAAACTCCAAAGTTATTTGAGCGCATCAGTCGTTGACAAATGACGTTATGTGAACCCTCCAATAACTCCCACTCAAACGACTAACACGATACATAGTTTTTGCATGGACCACACTTAATTAATGAATTTAGCTCCTTCGGCTTGTGCAAATCGGCAGATTATGTTATTTCTGTGATTCGCGACTAATTTGCTACAAAATAAAAAAAATAACATATAACTGCGCTCGAGATTGTCGAGGCGACGTTGTTCTTTTGCAACTTTGTGACTCTCTCATTTCTTTATGTCACACTCAAATTGTCAGATTATTTAAATACACACTTTTCTGCATGTGATTAACTTACTTTAATCTGACGCGCTCGAGTTTCTCCAACGATCGATTTTTTTTACTAATCTGACCGACTGCCCTGGACGCTCGGCACTAAAGGGCTAAGGTATGGTGGAAGTACTTAACAAGATGCAAGGTTGCTCCCCTTATGTTAATCTGACGCGCTCGAGTTAATCCCAAAATCCCCGGTTTGGCTCCCCTACAATAAAGTACCTATGCATTCGTCACAACTCATCCACACAACAATATCGTCATGCAATGCACACGCATGCCAATTCGGAAGTTATTTATCGACATTTTCGACGAAATAAAGACATCAATGTATGTAATTAAAATAATTCTTAATTAAAAGACGTTTTTGCAACATTACTTTCATTTATTTTGTTAATTAACTTGTCTGGCTAATTACCTCTAATAATGAACCCATTTTTTGATTTTTTAAGTAAACATAGCGTTCCTTTTTCTTAATTTAAAGAAGAGATGTGTAAAATATAATTCACAAGTCAAAAACACAAAACAGATGGCCACATGTCGATCCTGTGCACACGCTTTTGCCTCGATTATAATAAAGGTACCCTCAGGATAGCCTTGACAATTACAATAACACAAATCATCGTCTTTATTTCGTAGTAAATAAGGATCAACTGTATCAGCTGTCTCTTTCATACATTATGCCTTTAGATTGTCGAAATTTTCTGAAGGTTATAAAGGTTATAATTTCAAAAACTAGTAAATCTACAATTTTTAAAAAATAATCTAGTTTCATACACAATCTAGCAAACTATCAGCAGATTCAAAATTTTATTAACACAATTAGTTATTAATATTTTTAAAACATGCTATTCAAAACCTATGGCGCAAGTGGTTAGAGCGTTCGGCTGCGATAGTTGAAGTTAATCAACTTTCGCAGTGGTCGGTCATTGGATGGGTGATCAAAAATCTTCTATCTCGAGTTCCTCCGCGCTTCGGAAGGCACGTTAAGCCGTTGGTCCCGGTTGCATCTGCAGTCGTTAGCACCCACCAATCCGCACTGGGCCCGCGTGGTGGGTCATAGCCCAATCTCCCTATTCCATCCATAGGGAAGGCCTGTGCCCCAGCAGTGGGGACATTAATAGACTGATGATGATGATTCAAAACCTAATTTATCAGTTATTTTGTTTTAGTGTAAGTTTCTAGTGCAATCAAGGACTTGTCATTGGTTAAGTTAAGCTTTATTGTATAACAATAAGGGGACTTTTTGTACTGTACTCATTGGATTTAATAGTTCAGTAATCAATTAAATGCCCACTTAATATGGAAAATCAGGTACACTAAGTAAAGAACCTTAGTTTAATTAATTAACTTTATATAAATAAATGAGCTATAAGTAAGAAAATACTGAAACAACCTAAAACGTATGCCGCACCAGCCATCCTCGCCTTGCCGTAACTTAATAGCAAGTGCTAGAATTTCTTTAATATTTCCTTTAAAGATTGTTATGTGATGTATGAAGATACTTTTAGTATGATATTGAAAAAAATGTTCAGAGTTATTGTGATATGAATATTATTGTTATTTACATATGTAAGGTTTATGGACGACACCGTAAAAGGTAACAATGGTGCCAATTCTGGCGTGATTCTCTAAACTTAAAACTAAATTTAACATCAATCTCTCCTTTTCATTTTGTATAGAGAAAGACAAGGATATACTGCTGTCAAATTTAAGTTTAGGTTTAGAGAATCATGCTAGAATCGACACCACTGTTTCATATTCTAAACACTGGGATAAATAGATTAAAGTTTCGTGTAAAATAGTATCTTACACTCTGACAAGATGTTTGAATCTATGTTGTTTTGAAGTTTAACTTTTTAAAACGATATCTTGTACCGTTTATTAAGGAAAGGATGGAATTAAAGTATTTACTCTTCTACTAACCCAATATGTGTAACAAAATAATAGTATGACCCAAAAACATTGAATACTACATTTGTAACTAAATCTGCCTATATGTTTGGTTTTCAATTCTAATAAACAATCGATTTTTGCAGTAGCATACAATTTTATTATAAATATTTCTATTAAAACATTATGCATTTGAATCGATAGCAAAAAGTATTGGTCCGATTGCAGCCCGATTAAACCTTTTTTCTTATACCTAGTGATCTTTACTCCAGTGTCGATTTTACATTTGCCGTCGATTGTACCCAGCTACTAGGCCTATACTCACAGTGACATAGTAGTGCCCCTCTCCCGCGCCCTCCTCGAAGTCGATTGGCGTACCAGAGTCGCCGCTGCTCAGCGAACTAGTTGAGCCGCGCCTAGTAAGCTGCCGGGCCCAATGCACCACCCGGGGGGACGCCAGTGTGAGGATGATGGGTAATGGCCGAGGTTAAGATTTTATGATTTCGGTGACGTCATAGAGGTATTTTAAAATGACCAGTATTGGTGATTTGTTTGGAATACGGCCAAATGTTTCGAGCATTATGGGACGGCAATGTAAAGATGGTACAGACCCATGGATGAAGGACAATGTCCAAGGTTTCAAATAGTTTTTGTTTAGGTAAATCGCGTTGACCAAAGTTTGGCGATTTGTTTGAAAAGGGAGGACAATTATTTCGAATAGTATTGTTAGTTAAATGGAAGATTTCAAGATAGCCATTGAGATTGGCCATGACGTTAGGTAAGTGGTAGATTTTAAAGGAGATATAGTTGTTCATTGGCCATATGGAATGTTGCAGATATTAGTTAGTAACAAACAAGTCATGTGGCAGATTTTAAGAGCCAGTGTTGGTTGTGTTTCAAGGCAGCCAAGGGTCCAAGCATCAAGCGGATTTAACGGCCGTGAGTGGTCAGGGAGGGAAGGAAGAAACAAAAAAAAAAAAACAGAAAATTAGAAAAACATGACCATGCAAAAGATAGCTGAACCTTTCTGATGATGAACCATGCGTGACGTAATCTTGATTGAAACATTTAAAAAACCTTAATTTGCTACACATACGATTGTGAAAATAATAATCACTTTAGACAAAATCAAAAAGGTTCCGCCTTTAAAAATAAAGAAATAGTAAAATTAAAACAAATGAATTCATCAAACCATAATGCTTTTTTATGAAATTGTAAGAATCAAATGTAAATTAACATAATGCTTCATGCTGGTAACGTGATACGAAGTATAGAGTCTGATTACTTTTTATGATTATGAATAATGGTCTCATGGCCGTTCTATTTTTGATGGAATTTTTGAATTATCTTGTTGGTTAAAATTATGTATGTCATAGTGTTATTTCAGTATGAGAGAAATCATCATTGAAAAACATTTTTTAACAGGATATTTAGGGTTTGAAGAATGATATCGCTGATCATTAAACATGGCTATTCGTATTTGCCTAACTAAATTCACAACAGTATATCCTTACCATATAAAAGTTCTTCGATTGAAAAGTAATATAAAATTTAGAGTATTTCATATTTGTATAAAGTTTCAGCAAACAAATCTCTATAAGGGAACGACACCTATCAAATTCAGTTAGAAAAAAAGTATGTATTCTAGTTATTTGTTATTATATGTGTCGTGTTTGGTACTTGTGTATGTTGTTATGTTCATACCTTATCGCCCGTGGTGACGGTGGTCTTGACTTGCTGCGTGAGCACTCTCTGCTCATGTCTTGTAGCTGAAGAAGACAGAGTATGAGCCACGGTCTTTTCTTCCATCTGCTGCGTCCGTTCCTGAGTGTCCAGGTCGTGATGGGTGGTCGCTGTCCTAGTAGTCACTGCCCTCGCCCTCACGTAGGGACTCTTCTCCGCCGCTTCAAGGCCTTCCGCCTACGTGTTACACTAGCATGCATTACTATGTACACAGGGGAGGGGTTCACAAAGACAATATCGACATTAACAAGCTCGGAAGCCGAATAAAACTAAAGAAACTAAGCCACTCAAAATGGTTAAACAAAAAATCAAATTAAGATAAAAAGTTAATGGAATCTAAGGTATAGAACGAGACGCACCTTGTTCGTATGCGTGGAGAATGTGACCTCCCCGGTGCCGAGGTTCTCGACTTCTTGCTCGACGTTGTGCGTGACGCCTTCGTCGTTCTTGGTGAGCAGTTGCTTGGTGGTGGTCTTCACCACGACGGGCGGTGTGGGCGTCTTCTTGCTCCGCTGTGAAACCGGGATCTTGGAGGAAAGAGGGGTGCTGGACGCGTAACCCTGATGCCTAACATGTTCACTGGTCGTGTACTCAGTAAAGGTTTTCGGCTCATCGCCTCGCGCTGGGCTATCATCTTTCCCGAACGTTGAGAATTTGTGCGTGTTCACGGTCTGTATGTCGATGTTTGCAGGCAAGTCTTGTGTTTCCTTCTCGATGGTGTAGTTGCCGCTCTTGTCTTCGAAGTGGGAAGGATCTATCTGGGAGTAATGGAGGATTAGCTGACCGGTGACGGGGTCCCGCACAGCCGTGCTGGGGTCGATGTCGCCCGTGTCGGGGTCTATATCGCCGTACTCCGTCTTTATTCGCCCAGTCACGGGGTCGATTTTACCAGATAACGTCATGGTTTGAGTGACCGTAGTCCTTGCACCTTTCAACCTCGGATCGTCAGGATCAACGTCGATTGTTTCTCCAGTAATCGGATCCACGATTTGGTACAAATACACAGTTTTAGTCGTAATGATTCTGCCCGTCGTCTCGTCTATGGTGCATTCCTTGGGATCTATCTCCTTCACGCGTCCTTTGTCGTCTTTCTGAGTCATGATGTATATTCGGACTATGACCAGTCTACCCGATATAGGATCAATTCTACCGAGTTTTGTGTATATTTCTCCTGAGCCTGGATCCACTTGTGATGCGGAGTAAAGTGGTTGGTTATTTTCATCGACTTCGCCGGTCGCCGTGTAAATTTGTCCGTTGACTGGATCCACCTTAATTAGAGACTTGTCAACGTCTGTAGCTCTGACGATGCACCCGGTCTTCGGATCTAAGCGGCCGTAGATAGTAATGATGTAACCAGTGATAGGGTCGATTTGTCCAGCGGTATATAGCACTTCGCCCGTTTGAGGATCTTTCGGTCCAGCGATCCAGATTTGGTTGGTTTTCGGATCCACTTTTACGTTCCTTGGGTCATTGGAGACGATCTGTTTACCAGATACGGGATCGACTTTGTTACGTATTATCCTTAGGCATATAAGTCTGCCCACATCTTTATCAGGTTTACCAGATTTAGGGTTGATTTGTCCACTTCTAAGCAAGAACTGACCAGTAACGGGGTCAACTTTGAGCTCCTTGCTTTCGAATTTGCCCGTTTTAGGGTCGTTGTATGTAACAGTACCTTTCACTAAATCTATAGTTCCATATTTGGTATCAATAGTATTGTTCTCAGGATTAAATTGACCAGTGGTACTTTCGATAACAGAGTGCTTAGGTTCAATGACACCTTTCTTATTATCAACTTTACCAACGAATGTTGTTACTTCCACTACCGGGTCGATATGTGTGCCCACTACAATGACTTGGCCAAGTTTAGGATCAACTTTTCCTGTCTTCGGATCAATAGCACCAGTTATTGTTATCTGTCCGTTGTTCTCGTCTATTGAAACTGGTTTAGTATCTTGAGATCCAGACGCATTTGTCACAAATATGACTCCATTTGATGGATCGATTACTCCGTATTTGGTGGAAATATGGCCAGTTTCAGCATCCACTTTACCTTTGGTGAGTTCCACTGTACCCTCATCAATATTGACTCTTCCTGTTTTAGGATCAATAGGTCCAGTGATAGTCGTGATTTCAACGACAGGGTCGTCTTGTTTAGCAACACTCATAATCATGCCCAGGTTGGGATCAATTTTACCCGTTTTAGGATCTATAGCACCGTAATTGATGAATATTTGCCCAGTTTCAGGCAGAATAAAACCGTCTCTTGTCTGCTTCTGACCCGCTGAATCTGTGATTACGATTGTGCCCCTATTGGAATCAATAACACCATATTTTGTTTCAATCAATCCATTGGGGTCGAGAATGCCGGTCAAATGTTCTACTTCTGCAGTGTGTAAATCAGGTTTCTTCGTCTTAGGATCGAGTTTCGTGAAAATGACCATTATTTTAACGATCTTCCTTTTTGGTGGTTCTGGAGGAGCAGTTGTAGGTTTCACTGGTGCTGATTTTTGTATGACAGACGCGATTGGTGAAGATTTTTGAGCGTAACTGGTAATTGGTGAGGCAGTGCGTATAGGAGTTTGTACAGACGTCTGCGTCGGTGTATGCGGAGGTGTTTTAACTGGCGATGGGATTTGTCTAGGCGGGGACACGCTAGCTCTCACTGGCGCTACTTTAGACAACACATTCTGCTTATCGACTATAGTAAACTGCTGAGCATAAGTGGGATCTACTTTGCCTGTTCTAGGATCAACTACGGCGGTAGTCACTATAAAGTTTCCAGACTTAGGATCTATTTCAGCCTGTTTCAATTCCTGCTTTCCAGTTACAGGGTCCTTGTATAGGATTTGTCCTGATCGTGGATCGAGAATACCAAAGTCTGTATGAATTTTGCCATCCTCGGAGCTGACGTATCCTTTGGAAGTGTCGATTGTGCCTGTTCCGGCATCGACTGATTTTGTGTATGGGTCATATCTGTTAGTGACAATAACAAGACGGACCTCTCCTTTAGTTGGTGGTTTTGCAACTGGTACCACAGTTTTGTTAATAACACTGAACTGTTGTGCTAATGTAGGATCAACTCTGCCAGTCTTCGGGTCTACGACTTGACTTGTAATCAACATATGCCCAGTGGCAGGTTCAATGGTCGCTTGTTTAGTTTCTTGTCTTCCAGTCTTCGGGTCAGTGACTGTGATTTCTCCAGTCCTTGGATCGACAGTACCAATAGCTGTACGTATTTTTCCATCAGGTCCCAATGTTCCAATAATAGTATCCACGTGACCTTGACTGGGGTCAATCTTTCTGGTACGCGGGTCATATTTGGTCGTTATTATAACCAAGTGAATTTCTCTTTCCACAGGCTTAGCTTTCTCAACAACGTTTAGTTGCTGTGCTAATGTAGGATCAGGTTTACCTGTTTTAGGATCAACAACCCCAGATGTCAGTAAGAGACAACTAGTTTTCGGATCAATGACAGCTTGTTTGATTTCGGTTTTTCCTGTTACTGGGTCCACTTGTTCAATTCTTCCAGTCTTAGGATCTACAATTCCATAGTTCGCGTGAACTCTGCCATCAGATGCAATTGTGCCACGGGATGTTTCTACGTGGCCATTTGGACTTTCTAACCTCTTGTTTTTAGGATCATATTTATTCGTAATCACAACCAATTGAGCTTCTCTGCCTGGCACAGGTGTGAATTTATCCGTAGGTTGATCGACTACGGTTATTTGTTGGGCTAGTGTTGGATCCACATGTCCAGTGTGTGGGTCAATAACTCCAGATGTAAGCACCATATTACCAGTCCTCGGATCAACAACCGCTTTTTTAAGCTCTTGTTTTCCAGTGATAGGATCTGAATAAAGAATATCTCCAGTGTTGGGGTCAACCCCACCGAATTCTGTATGAACTTTATTGTCACTTTTAAGGGTTCCAGGAATAGTATCGACGTGAGCATTCGCTAGATCCATTTTCTTATTCTTAGGATCGTATTTGGCTGTTATTATTACTAAATTCACATATTTATCAGGAATCTTATCTTTATCAACGACAGCGATTTGTTGAGCCAAAGAAGAATCAACTTTTCCAGTCTTTGGATCCACAACTCCAGTAGAAAGGATTAAGTGACCAGATTTAGGATCTGTTATAGCTTGTTTGATTTCAGTTTTACCCGTTTTAGGATCAACTGCTTCGATTCTGCCGGTTTTCAGGTCAACGATGCCAGAGGTAGTGTGAACTCTACCGTCAGAAGCCAGGACTCCTGGTACAGCTTCCACATGACCATTAGCGCTTTCCAACTTCTTATGTTTGGGATCATATTTGCTGGTAATAATTACTAGTTGAACTTCCTTTCCAGGTAATGATGGAGCATGTTTGTCTTTAGGTACTTCAACAACACTTATTTGCTGACCCAAAGTGGAATCGATTTTCCTAGTGCGTGGGTCGAGAACTCCCGAAGTAAGAAGCAAGTTACCTGTCCTTGGATCAACAACAGTCTTCTTGACCTCCTTCTTTCCTGATACCGGATCTATTATTGTGATATCTCCAGTACTGGGATCTACAATTCCAAATTCAGTGCGAACCTTGTTATCAGCTTCTACTTTACCAGGAATAGTATCTACGTGAGCGTCGGTGAGATCCAGTTTTTTATTCTGTGGATCGTATTTAGATGTCACAATCACTAAATTAACAAATCTTTCCGGAATGCTCTTTCGAGAATCTCTATCAATAATCGCGAACTGCTGGCCCAACGAAGAGTCGACCTTTCCAGTATTTGGGTCAACTACTCCAGAGGAAAGTATTAAATGTCCAGTTTTAGGGTCTGCTACAGCTTGTTGAATGTCTTGTTTGCCAGTCTTTGGATCCAGATGCTCAATTTTACCCGTTTTAGGATCAATAACACCAAAATTACTGTGGACTTTGCCATCGGCAGCCACCACCCCCCTCGAGGTTTCTACGTGACCATTGAGGTTATCCAAACGTTTATATTTAGGATCATATTTACTTGTAATTACAACTAATTGCACCTCTTTACCAGGAACCGAAGTGAATTTGTCTTTTGTTTTGTCGACAATGGTAATTTGCTGTCCCAAGCTAGCATCTACCTTGCCAGTTTGTGGATCAACGACTCCTGATGTAAGTAGAAGATTTCCTGTCTTGGAATCCACAGAAGCTTTCTTAACTTCCTGCTTTCCAGTAAGAGGGTCTGTGACAATAATTTCACCTGACTCGGGATCAACAATGCCATATTCTGTATGAACTTTGCCATCATCATCTATTTTACCCGGAAGTGAATCTACATGAGCGTTAGTAAGTTCCAACTTTTTGTTTTTAGGGTCATATTTAGAAGTGACGATAACTAAATTGACGTATCTTTCAGGTATACCTCTTGGGGCATCTTTGTCAACTACTGTCAACTGCTGAGCAAGGGACGAATCTGTTTTCCCAGTCTTGGGATCAATAACTCCTGAAGTAAGAATAAAGCTACCTGTTTTGGCATCAATGATGGCTTGTTTAGAGTCTCGTTTGCCGGTTTTTGGATCAGTGTAATATATTTTTCCTGTGTTGGGTTCCAGTACACCAAAGTTTGTATGTACTTTGCCGTCTTTATCGCTTATTATAGCGTGCGAAGTTTCAACGAAACCGTTAGGATTATCAAGCCTTTTATTTTTGGAATCGTATTTGCCAGTTATAGCTATTAATTGGACTTCTTTGCCAGTTACCGCAGCAAATGTATCGACAGGTTTATCGACAATGCTATATTGTTGACCAAGTGTGGTATCCAATTTATCTGTTCGAGGGTCAATTACGCCAGACAAGAGCAATATGTTGCCAGTTTTAGGATCGACTTGCGCGTGTTTAACTTCTTGTTGACCAGTCTTAGGATCGGTGACATGAATATCGCCGGTTCTTGGGTCAATAACACCGTATTCTGTATAAATTTTACCATCAGATCCACCCAAGACGCCTTTGACCGCGTCTACGTGTGCAAAGTTGGGTTCTAATTTCTTGTTCTTCAAGTCATACTTGCTAGTGATAACTATGAGACGAATTTCTCTATTAGCTGTCGTGGCGTCTTTTTCAACAATGCTGAACTGCTGGCCTAGGGAAGAATCGACTTTGCCAGATTTCGGATCAACGACCGCAGTTGTAACAAGTAGATTTCCAGTTTTTTGGTCGACGTATGCTTGTTTCGGATCTTGTTTTCCTGTTTTGGGATCAATGTAATCTATCTTACCAGTTCTTGGATCTATAACTCCATAGTTAGACGCCACTGTGCCATCTGGTGTTACAACTGCTCTAGATACATTCACGTGCCCGTGCGAGGCATCTAATTTCTTATGCTTTCCGTCGTATTTACCAGTTATAACAACTAGATCAACCTCCCTACCAGGCTTCACGCCAACTTTGTCTTGCGCTTTTTCAACAAAGCAGTACTGTTGGGCAAGCGTAGGTTCGAGTTTCCCAGTCTTCGGATCGACGACGCCGGTCGTGAACAAAATATGACCCGACTTCGAATCCACATGACCATTTTTCACTTCTTGTTTATTAGTAGCGGGGTCAGTGTAACTGATTTGACCCGATTTTGTGTTGATGAGTTCTTTTTCAGTTTGTATTTTTCCGTTCGCTTTGTTGAGAGTGCCTCGGGTTACTAAAATAGTTCCGTTGGCATCGTCGAGTTTCTTCGTCTTAGGATTATATCTGCCTGTGATGATGACGACTTTTACTTCATTATCAGGTTTGGCGGCAACAGGTGCAGCAACCGCAGCTGCTAAAGGAGCTTCATAATGCGCTCGTTCAGAATCTAGTAGTGCCAAAGTGGGATCTATAAGGTGTTTGGGTGCTTTGGCTTGTTCTTTGAGTGCAGCGGATTGGACGTAATCGATACCAGGCGTTTTAAGCTTGCTAGGATCTTCGGGTGTCTTGCGCTTTTCGGCGCTTTCTGCCACTTTCTTGTCTTCACCCGGTGCGTAGTTGAAGGCGAGGCCGGCTTTCCTTGTTGTCGGGCTTTGACTTTCATCGAGTGCTCTCTGTTTCTCTTCGGATATCGGTTCTTTTTCGTAGCTGAACGCACCCTGTATGAAAGGTTTAGTTCGCGTTGGACTCTTTTCAGTGTCTATGTATTCGTAGGGTTTAGTGAAACCAGGCTTGTCCTCTTGCTTGGACGGACTCTTTTCGCGTGATGAATCGAGATTGGAACTCTCGTTCGACGTGTCGAGTACGGCCACTTTGGCTTTCTTATCTTTGGGTGATTTATCTCTGGGCGATTTGTCTTTAGACTTGGGCGACTTCTCTTTAGGCGACTTCTCTTCTTTGGGCGATTTGTCCTTCTTGCCACCGAACAGACCGAAACCTCCCTGCATAGATCGGGCGAGGATAGGGGAGAGGATAACAATAAAGAAATTAAAAAATAATAATAAAATAATCAATATAAAAATTAATGAACGCGACACGTGTCGTGTATAAGTTTTCCAGAATTTTGAAATAGAAATACCGAATCTGATCTCGGTTACTGCCGATTACACCGAAGTGTTTTAAACTTATACAGTAACAGACACACACAGTGCGAAATTAATATAAAAATGCATTATGCGTAACGCATGCGCCAGTTGCCAATATTTACAAAGATGTATAATACACTAAGAGTCTACTATCAGAACATGACAGTACTGCAACGCACGAATCAATAATATCTGATGTTTTCTACCATTCTCGCTTTGTGAGTGTTTGTGTGTTCGTGTGGAAGCTTGAGGCGATGGTACTCACCTTAGTTTTCTTGGGCGTGGTCTCCGCGTTGTTAGTGAGACCCGGATCGCTAGAAGTGTCTGTACCTATAAAGATATATTATACTGATAATGCCATTGAAGACGCTTTTAATTTCTACTGTTTTAATGTATAAAGAATGTACGAAACATTTTCCTCAAAATCTATGAAATTATTACTACTAAATAGTGTTTCGGAAGGCATGTTAAGCCGTTGGTCCCGGCTGCATCTGCAGTAGTTAGCACCCGCCGATCCGCATGTACATTGGCCATGACACACCACGGGCGGGCGTGGTGGGTCATGGTTCAATCTCTCTATGATATCCATAGGGGAGTCCTGTGTCCCAGTAGTAGGGACATCAATAGGCTGATGATGAATGCTTTTAAGCAATGTCCATTACGTCATAAAAACAATAGGAGTTCAATTTAAAACTCGATTACATATTCCCTACATATTGCTTATGTACCTTCCATAATTTGCACATCGATTTCTTTAAAGTCATTAATGTCAATTTCAACAATTTACAGTAAAGCGTTACTTTTTCTGCTAATATCATAAATCAGTGGCGCTCTCTTACGCACAGACGAACAACAGATGAATTTACATAAAAGGAAAGTTCTGGCATTGTTATCTCAATTTTAGATTTTTTGACTTTTAAGAACTGGAAGTGCAAATTGTTCATTTTAATTTTTATTTTGACACTTTTCGAGTTTTTATATGGCAAATATAATTTAAAGGTTAAGGCAAAGGTTGTATAGTCGTAGTGACCATTATAGTTTATTTCCGGCACGTACCGTTTTCCGCGGGTCGCCTTTGCTCTTCCAGCTTCTCTTGCTTATCGGGGGGCGCTGTAGGCATCACTTTTACGGCACCAGGCGGCGGTTTCTATAATATATCAATAATTTACTGTTATATTAATCTGATCGCTGTTATATAATCCCAAAATTGTCAGGAAAAAATTGCATTCTACATACACCCAGCACTGGTTATATGTCTATTACATCAGGTATTGATGTTATAGAATTCAGAATAGATAGCAAATCAGCTTACAGGACCTTGATGTCTATTAAATCGGATCAACCTGCGTTAACACAATAACTACATTAAGCAAAAAACTTCAACAATCGGACTCTGTTATTTCGATATACGTCATTTTGACAGTTCAATAAGAAATATCATATACTGTTTGGACTGTTTGAAAAAATGGCTGTACACAATATAGTATTTAATTACAGAATTTTACTTTAAAATAAACTATAATCTTCATAGTATTTTATGATAACTAGTATTAATATGTATTTACTTAATATTTCAATTACTTGGTATATCAAAGAATTCATTATTAAATAACGTGAATCATGGCGATCAAAATTTACTAGAAACATGTTAGTCATTCCACAAACTACATGAACTACCCACTTCTAGAAAGCTCAAAGATTTAAAAGGTCATATTCCAGTCTTTATACATTTACAAATGGAAATGGATCTATTGATATGAAAGTTCACAATGTGTTATTTAGTGCTACGTTCAAATGTCTTGTGTGATGTTGTTAATGGAGGTCATTCGTGTTGCATTGCTTGGTTTGTTATGAGACATCAAGTGCAGACGTTAGAAAAAAATATCAGGGATGAACTCCCATCGTGAGTGGTAGGTCAAATGTAAGACGACAATATTATATTATTCACAATCTAAAGCTGGACCGATCTATAAATGCATAAAAATTACCTAACACTTTATTAAAATAATTCTTCACAGTAATATTTAATTAGTTGAATAGATCTCTCTAATCTTACGTCATAAAACATCCAATACCAGGTAAAAAAACGGTTTTTTAAAATGGGCGTGACCTCCCATTTCTGTTTTGATAGAATAATTATTGATAAAACCGATAACTGTAATGTGACATACCATCACGATGAGACTAAGTGACTGAACAATTTTGTTAAAAAAAAGGTCGTATCGGGGATGTAAAAATAGGTGTCCCCCTAGGTGCTACACTGGGGCCTTCTCTTCATAATGTATGGACAATTATATCGTAAAACCTTGTCCGGTTTGTCGGCGAGGTACTCCCCCTCGAGCGAGCTGGCGGAGGAAGCGCTGGTGCCGGCCGAGCGCCGCCGCAGCTTCCGGCCGCGTGCGATAACCACACACACATTACGCGGTACCCCAATACCAATGTTGTTAAATGTTAATGGCTATAGGGCCTTAGGGGTCATACATAAAGAACTTCACACGTTAAATGAGAGGGAGGGGGTCAACGAAAGTGTGACATTATGTGACAAGGGATAGGAAGGGGTCCTAAGTTTCGTGACATCACATTTCAAAAACTTATACTTTTGAACTACATATATCAAAAAATACAACAAAATAACTACATATATCATATAATTATCAAAAAACTTTAAAATATTCAGAACTCTATCTGTATAAGTCCTAATTTGTTTTGTTGAGTCGTTTTTGGAACTTATTTCGGAACAGCTATTTTAATTTAATAATTTCTAGATGCAATATATGTGATGTCACACTAGGGAGGGAGGGACTCACACTTGTGACCAAATATGACAGGATTAGGTGAGGGGTAAAGAAATCACGAAATTAGTGTGACGTGCTTTATTGATGACTCCTGCCAGGGCCAGATTAAGGCAGGATAGGCGGGGCTACTGCTCAGGGACCTCCACAACAGAGATAAAAACATAACCAAGCCCGGGGCGCCATATTTTAAACTACACCCGTTAGTAGTCCCCACTCCTACGTTGCCCCTGAGCCTCCACACCTCCTAATCCGGCCCTAGGCCTTATACCGCACCTCATTCGATTTCCGAAAGCTAGCTATGCGGCTAGTTTGAGTGAAGTTGAACAACAATGTTACGTAACGAATATGTTCTAATATTCATTGTAGACTGCATTATTAAACTACGCAATTAGAATTTCATATAATATGTGACATTCAATGTTTCTGACGGCCTCGGGTCAGGTATATGGTCAGTTATTTTCTATACATAAAGTACAATTTATTTAAAACTTTATTAGATCTCTTAAATTGAATGAGGTTTAGAATGCGACTAAAAGTCTGTCTCGACGTCATGAATCGCCTTGGTTGGGGAACCGCGTTACACACAGCCAGGAATACAACCGATAAATCATTTTAATCTTTTACTTTTATCGAGAAGAAAAAAGAATAAAAGCGTTACGGTAATCGACTGTAACCTTCATACTAGTCACTTCAAACATATAATCTATCTAAAACATCAAATATGAAAGACGTGCTATAAAAAAATATTTTAATATTTTCTTTTTGAAATTGGTGTGTTCCAAACTGTTGTGTACATGAAATTTGTAAAAGCCACATGCTAACATGTTAGTGAATAACAATACACCTATGAAATCATTGATACGTGTCAGTAAGTTACATGTAAACCGACTGCAAGTAAGATCTGTATTAGTAAAAATTCTAAATTTAACATCAGTCTCTCCTTTTCATTCGGTATAGATGATGATGAATGATAAGGATACATTGGTGTCGATTCTGGCATTATTCCCTAAACCTAAAATTAAATTTGACAACAGTGTATCCTTGTCATTCGTTATACAGAATGAAAAGGAGAGAGTGATGTTAAAGTTAACTTTAAGTTTAGAGGATCATGGCAGCATTGACACTAATGTTGACAAATTTTAGTTTTAGAAAAACATGCCAGAATCGATACCATTAATGCAACAACTTAGATTTTTTAAACGATGCATTATAAAATCTTACATGCAGTCAAATAAGACTTATATTAGATGCAAACTAATTTCCAATTTCCATCTCTTTCAAACAAGTACAACAAAGTTCTATTTTCACTAACGATGCGATGCGGATGAGATGATTGTTTGCAATTGCAATATGACACAGCAGAATAAATATATTTTAATACTTTTAAGACTACAAAATTCATTCCGCTACGCGCCGCACGGTGAAATACTGAGCTTACTATCCATATGTGAACGTTCAATCGGTGTTAAAATTTAAAGATTCCAAAAAAAACATATGGATATCAAGCTTAACGTCTTGTTCAGACGACACGCGCAGACAATGCGTCAGCAACAATAAGTCTTGTGACACACAGGCGCGGTCCGAAAGGGGGGGGGGGGGGTCCCATGACCCCTTAGGTCATTCTTGACATTTGGTACAAAGTAACCTCTTATAGTACAGATAAAGAAAAAATTGCGAAAACCGTGAATTTTTAGTTACATCATATAATAAAAAATATTTTTGAAAATTCAGGTGTGTACCGAACCCTCGTTGCGCGAGTTCGACTCGCTCTTGGACGGTTTTTTTTATTAGTGTAACGAGTGACCCCCTCCAAAATTTCTGGCTGCGACCGCGCCTGGTGACACGTAAATAAATCCCAAGTTCCATTTATCGTATCCGGCATGCACTCACCACGAATACGCCTTGCAGTCGCGCTCGGCTTGTAGGAGTAGTGCTTAGAAGAAAACATTGATAATCTCTTCCGGGCAGTCGTGTAAAAAGATAAATTACTACGCGTGTGTTGTCATGTGCGTGGTCGACGCGGGTCATCTGAACACGCTCTAAGTGTATCAAAATAAGTGGAAAACCTAATGAGCAATCATCACTATTTTGCATGCTCATGAGTCATCGACTCGATACGTCTGGAGACACATTTTTTCTTATCATTGTTAGTAAACAACAATAAGTCAGTGTTGAGAGATTATTTGTGTTAATGTGTTAGTCAAATATTAACAAATCAGGCTTAGCAAAACTTTCTGTTCGCCTTTTCGACCTAAAGTCGATTTGAACACATGCTTAAAAACTATCATAAGGAGGATGTTAATGAGTGTTTACTTTTTTTTTATAGATAGGTCCGACAAATGACTCCACCCCACCTGATGTTAAGTGAAGGTGAAGTCCAGACGCGAAGATAGCTGATACAGCAGTTCTACCTGCCATACCAGCCACCCTCACCCTGCCGGCCTGCATGTTGCTTCTTCACGACTCTTTTAAAGGATCCCAGGTTGTAAGAGGGAGGGAACACGTGAGCGGGCAGAGCATTCCATTTACGGATAGTGCGACAAAGAAATGAGTCACCAAATTTCTTTGTACGCGTTGGAATTGTGGCCAAAGTAAGACGGTGACAACGTAGACCAGCGCGCGTGGTCCTCTGAAGGAAAGGGGAAGGTGGGATAAGAGAGATTAACTCCTCAGAACACTCGCCGTGGTACAGACGATAGAACGAAATGTTAATGAGTGTTCAATTGGTCAATACGAAAAACAACAATAGGTATCTACTTAAAATTATTAGGAATAGTAATTGTCCTGTTTGTAAACAGATCTGAAGGAAAAATTCTTGTCTTGCGATGATATTGTCAGTGAATTAACTCATGCATGTAACAAACAAGGTCACTTTTTGCTACACCTTGTACATTTGAAGAAGTTAGTGATCTTCCACTGAAGGGTGATATTAGCTTGAATTTTAATTCTCCAGTTTTCATGAATTTTCTCCCACTACCGAGACCAAAGTTAAGGGATTTTCACCTTAAAAGTAGCTTAACGATTAATTTCTTCTGGTTTGATGATTCTAATACAGAGGGAGCAAGCACGAAATTTTACAGCTGCGTCATCATCGTCAAATTTTGTATAGAATATAGAAGGAGCCTAATTTTTTTCTTAGGTGTTCACGCACACAAGTTTTAACGGTATATATAGACAGACCCGTCTTTTCCAGTGGGCACTTTGGGTAAGTGCCCAGGGCCCCGCGATCGATAGGGGCCCCCTCAGATCAAATACAAAGTCCCTAGTTCCTTTTAAATCACCAAACTGAAGTCATAGAGGCCCCATTATCCTTATCTGCCCAGGGCCTCCAATAGGTCAAAGACGGCACTGGGTATAGATTAGTGATGTAACGAATGTCATTTTTTGAACATTCGCAAATGCGATACGATTTTTAAATTGGCGCCAATTGTCTATGGCATGGTGGCAGTCACGTTCGAATTGCCGAGTTGATATGAACTCATCCGATTGAAGTGTCATTCCGCTCGCACCGGTCTTTCCGTAAACAAAACAAGTGAATTTTGAGGTTAGTGATTGTGAGTGGTAATAGTGATTTATTAACATGAGTAAATCGAATTCTAGTGAGACATGGACTTATTTCACACTTTGCGATGCTGAACGAGCTAAATGCAAACTGTGTAACAATGAATATTCAAGGAAAGGCAGAACTACAAATTCTTCAAATTGTTTTTTTCTAATATTCATGTTCGCAAAACATTCGCAGAGATTTTGCGAATGCGAATATTCAAAAATATGCGAATATTCGTTACATCACTAGTATAGATGCATTGATTTATTTATTTATTGACGTTTCGCATCCTTTTCTTAGTGTTCATAGAAACTTTGACGCTGCAATACGATTAAGGACCTGTCAAAATTCGTACTTAAGCCTCGGGTGCTGTGATAACTACTGCTGCAGTAGGATGTGGAAGCTGGCAACACTGTATACAACATACCTTATCCTTGATGGTGGGTCTGGGAGCGGGTTGTGGCGGCATCGTGTGACGTTTAACGGCCTCTGGGGGCATACCGTCATCTTTCTCAGCTGCCGCCAACGCTGAAAAGACGAAGTTGAAATAGAATCAAATTTAGGGAATGAAATCTATATATATAAAACTCAAAGGTGACTGACTGACATAGTGATCTATCAACGCACAGCCCAAACCACTGGACGGATCGGGCTGAAATTTGGCATGCAGGTAGATGTTATGACGTAGGCATCCGCTAAGAAAGGATTTTGATCAATTCTACCCCCAAGGGGATAAAATAGGGAATGAAAGTTTGTATGAAACTTTGTCAATTTTAAACCGATCGGGCTGAGACTTTGCATGCAGGTATAAGAAGAATCATAGATGAATGTCATTGTGTATAACACAAGCCTGAGAACACAAACAGTAGTCTACACTTCAGCTCTACACCGAAGCGAAGCGAGGCCGGGCCGCTAGTAATATAGATATAACTGTGCAGAACTCTTCGTGTCCGACGGGAAGTTGGCCGTTTTTACATTGAAAACAAAATGGAGTCCGTAGCTCTCCTCATGAACATAAAAACAGTTTGTATCACAGAAAACATTGAACGAACACATTAAAACTCAATGCATTCCATTCTCAATCTGTTATCTCCGCAATTTATTCTCGATAATTCGGAATTTTCAGTATAATTAGCAAACCTTCTCTAATTTATCAAATTAGTGAAGCACAGCTAATTTGCATAAGCCGAACTTTTTTTAACAGACTCCAGCAAACTTTACATCGTCATCATCAGCCTATTAATGTCCCAACTGCTGGGGCGCAGGCCTTACCTATGGATGGAATTGTTTGTTTTGATGATGGCTCTAGGCAGGGATAAAAGCCGAAATATCACATGGTAGCAATCCCGTTGGTCATCATCACCATCATCAGCCTATTAATGTCCCCACTGCTGGGGCACAGGCCTTCCCTATGGATGGAATAGGGAGATAGGGCCATGACCCACCACGCGGGCCCAGTGCGGATTGGCGGGTGCTAACGACTGCAGATGCAGCCGGGACCAACGGCTTAACGTGCCTTCCGAAGCACGGAGGAACTCGAGGTAGAAGATTTTTGGTCACCCATCCAATGACCGACCACTGCGAAAGTTGCTTAACTACAACGATCGCAGCCGAACGCGCTAACCACTTGCGCCATCGAGCTCCTCATCCCGTTAGTAAATATAATATTTAGACAAGCTTGAAAATAACTAAGGAACAGACTCGCATTCCGCCGTACCGTTTCTAGGTATCGCTTCGAATGCTTAACACAAACACCGGTGTAGTGATTAACAACGCGGCGGGATATCGCGTCTCGATGTTACAAGTGATGTTATAAAATAACTAGCAAACCAGTGAACCAAATGTTCACCAAAAAATGATTTAAAAAAAAAAAAGGTATTTAATTAATTGAGAACTTCGGAGATTTTGTGTGGTTTCGTTTGAAATTCGTGATTTCTCGAAAACCGGAAGTGCTACGTTACTCAAATCCGGTTTGTAGTCTTATCAGACTATTCTTAACTTATAACTTGAACATTCTCTTTATCTATCTCTCACGGTTTGGCCGCTGAAACAGCACCACAGATGGACGGACGGACGGACTTGTCTAATAGATAAGAGATATTTTTCGGGAATCACATTCTAGGAAACTGAACGTGGAAGAGGTTGGACATCATCATCATCATCAGCATATTAATGTCCCCACTGCTGGGGCACAGGCCTTCCCTATGGATGGAATAGGGAGATTGGGCCATGATCCACCACGCGGGCCCAGAGCGGATTGGCGGGTGCTAACGACTGCAGATGCAACCGGGACCAACGGCTTAACGTGCCTTCCGAAGCACGGAGGAACTCGAGATAGAAGAATTTTGGTCACCCATCCAATGACCGACCACTGCGAAAGTTGCGTAACTTCAACTATCGCAGCCGAACGCGCTAACCACCTGCGCCATCGAGCTCCTCGAGGTTGGACAAATTAATATTAAATAAATATTTTTCGACACTCACACGAATTAGCCCAGCCCCAAAGTAAGCACTGAAAGGCTTGTGTTATGGGATACTAGGGTAACGGATAGAATACATATACAGTACATATATAAGTATATTTATATAGAAATACATATTAAACATCCATGACTGGAGTACAAATGCTCGTATTCATCACACAAACATCTGCCTCCACCGGGATTAGAAACCGGGATCTCTCGAGTCGGCGACACCATGAAACCCGGCGTACAAACCACTCGGCCACGGAGGTCGTCAAATAAATGAATTCATATTTGCTGTATATTAGTCGCCCTGCCACCAGATTCATGATATGTTGAGAAACTCAGACAGAGATGTAAGTAATATAAGATTCAATCACTTATGATCTCAGTTCTTGACATTATATTTTTTTTGGAATCCGAACAAAACGCGGGGCCGAGTAATCCGAGAAAGAAATTCAAAAATGTCGTTTGCAATATAACTTTCAAAGTGTTTAGGTAGGTAGGATCAGGTCTAGTATAATCAGAATTCAGCCTTCAAAATACCAACTACAATTTAAAATTTTAAACTTAAAAATTTATGCCATCGTATTTTTAAAAAATAAATTTCAATTGAATGTTATTACATTTTTTCAATGAGGTAATAAAAAAAATATACCAACATGAAGCACAACTGGGCATCCAGCAATCGTTGAACACCATTTTGATAACTTAACAACAACAACAAAACAAACAACTTAAAAACAAAAATCCTTCAAAGCAATTCACACACGAATTCCGAACTTCAAATGAGATCGATCTATAGACTGAGCTAATATACCGGTGAGATTTGGTTATAAACATGCGCCTGAGCAGCGCGCCCGTGAGCAAATAGTGTATTAATATCGTTTACTTCACGATCGCGATCGATAGAGCGGACCACAGTGCATCACTAAAACAGAAGTGCTTCTTGAAACTCATAGACTAAACAACAGTAGACTATGTAAACAGTAGCGTGTAGGGTTGTCACGTTTGGTCGGCATTGAATTTTTATATAGTTACTAGCTGACCCAGCGAACTTCGTACCGCCATAAAAAATAGGGGTTGGTGGTAGAAGGGCGAAAATTTTGGGTTATATTTATTTTTGTATGATGTATCATAAAAAAATTAAAAAAAAATTATCTAAAATTGAAAAAAAAAATTAGGGGTGGATTACCCTTAACATTTAGGGGGATGAAAAATAGATGTTTCCCGATTCTCAGACCTACCCAATATGCACACAAAATTTCATGAGAATCGGGAAAGCCGTTTCGGAGGAGTTTAACCACAAACACCGCGACATGAGAATTTTATATATTAGAATTTACATCATAGTTAAGTATTAAGATCACTCAAACAGCGATAACTCAAAGATGGCATATTTTCTGTGTATTGATATGTGCACTGTAATATGGTATTCGCAAACATTAAGGAGTTCTCCATATCATTTGTAAGACGGCGATTTTGAAATTGATATTCTTGTGTCAGTTGCAAATGTTACGATGGTTCAGACCCTTTATTGAGCGATCCAGACTTGTGCTATTTTTTGACATTATACCGATCAAGAATCGAGTAAAGAACTCATAAAATGGCGTTAAAAATCACAAGTAAATATGGTTGATTCTACTAAAATATCTATTAAACTAGCGGCCCGCCCTCGCTTCGCTTCGGTGTAGAGCTAAAGTGTAGACTACAGTTTTTGTTCTCAGGCTTGTATTATTATACACAATGACATTCATCTATGATTCTTCTTATACCTGCATGCAAAGTCTCAGCCCGATCGGTTTAAAATTGAAGTTTCATACAAACTTTCATTCCCTATGTTATCCCCTTGGGGGTAGAATTGATCAAAATCCTTTCTTAGCGGATGCCTACGTCATAACATCTACCTGCATGCTAAATTTCAGCCCGATCAGTCCAGTGGTTTGGGCTGTGCGTTGATAGATCACTATGTCAGTCAGTCAATCACCTTTGAGTTTTATGTATATAGATAGACTACTATTTAATTAAGAACTAAGCCAGTTTCTACAAAGGGATGACCCGGTTTGTCTTTACCGTTTGACATGAAAATAAAAGCTGCAGTAATGTTAAACACCCCTAAATGTCATCCACTATAGAGAAAACAATTATTATACGCAAACAAAAACGTAAGTACGTTTTATAAAAGTAATGATTGGTCGGGTCGCAAAAAAATATGAGGTCACACCTCACGTCGCATCATGCAGCCTGGCAAGGTGACAATTGGATGAATCACTTTATACTCGGGAGCTGCACTATATGCTGACATAATCGGAAGGTCATTATCATAGACGGCTGAGTTTTTGTGAGTCAACATCGCCATCTGATCTTTATTATAGAGCGCGTAAAGTTGATATTGTCTGTTGGAAATTAGCACGCGCTGTGTGTACGATTTTAAAAGGACGTGTTTCTTATAGTTTGTTTATTGTGTTCCATTTTTGACAACTTGTTTGTGGAAGAAAGCTATACTTATTTTGGTACAGAGATCTGTGTTTAAAACCGATTCATATTATGGTATCGTGTTATTAGAAGCTTCGAAGAAGTATAGATTTTAATACTCATTGCGTATAATACTCATATCTGAGCTGCATTTTTACAATGTTTATTATTTATTAAAAGTTTAAGAATCGATCGCGCAGGTGGTTAGCGCGTTCGGCTGCGATCGTTTAAGTTAAGCAACTTTCGCAGTGGTCGGTCATTGGATGGGTGACTAAAAATTTACTAACTCGAGCTCCTCCGTGCTTCGAAAGGCACGTGAAGCCGTAGTCGTTAGCACCCACCAATCCGTACTGGACCCGCGTGATGGGTCATGGCCCAATCTCCCTATCTATAGGGAAGGCCTGTGCCCCAGCAGTGGGGACATTAATAGGCTGATGATGATGATGGCAATCAAATTTCGAAATCGACAGCGCAAACGGTTAGCGCGTTGGGTTGCGATCGTTAAAGTTAAGCGGCTTCCGCAGTGGTCTGTTATTGGATGGGTGACCAAAAATTAACAGGGTTAAACAATACATTTTAAATAGTTTACAT